TCATGTGTTTCCAATCTTGTTAGTATACCAGTGTTTTGTATACTTACTTCGCATGTATTCGTCTTGTTTAGTACACTTGTAACCAGTATGCATGTATAACATGTATCTCATTTCAATTGCATGAGTAACTTAGGATGATCCATGAGTCTCACATTTGACATAGACGTTAGGTGGCATGACCCTTTTGAACTGTTTCATGATAGTCTAAAAATCTCTAAAGAAATCAAGTCAATGCATGCTCATTCTCTACGAGTAAACTTGTTTACTCACCCGAAGTTACTGGGGGGCTGTTTCAGGTATGAAGGCTTGGTTCGTGATGTTCATCATTGCTTGGATGATTGTAAACATGAAGGTTTAAAATTCTTGTAAAGGTTGGCTTGAAATGCCACTTGTAGCCTTATATGTCAAAATGTATATATTTGATTCTATATATGTAATGTGTACATAAGTACACCATTTGTAATGTATTTGATATGTATAAGATGAGGCCGCAGGCCAATATCATGTATCTTGCATCCTATGTACTTTTGACTTCATGAAATATAATGAAAAATATTAAAAAATGCCAAGTAATTGTGTCACCATGGGTGCATCAGGTGTGGGAATTTCATTTTCATTCTTTTATAAGGTCTCATTAATCATGTATTAAGTGTGGCCAAGGGCCAAACGGTAATTTGAAGTCATTTGTTAATTTTAGATTTTAAAATTTCCATTTCAAGTTAATTTCGCCTTTTTGGCCATTGGGGGGTCGGCTTTTGACTCGGCCATTTCCGGGAGCTGCGAACCATTCCCGTGCGCTCAAAATCATCATTTACATTTGCGTGAATGATCATTTCCATGAAAAACCCTTTCGTTTGTGTTTTGAGTCTCTTATGGACTCATTTCACCTTTTCGTTGAAAAACTCAGTTCAAGGGCATTTTGGGAATTTCTTGTGGGAAATAAATTCCGTTCTCGACTCCATCACATAGAAAATGCGATTTTAGCGGGAGTTTCTTCACGACATCTTGATCTCGAAAACCGCGTTCCAAGTTCAATTTTCTGCATTTTCTACTACATTTACTGTTCCTACCCAGGTTGAACCAGTTCAAGGATGTTGAACCGGTTTAAGAGGTGTCTTTTGGTCCAACTTGGGCATATTGCCCATGTTGAACTGGTTCAAGGAGGCTGAACCGGTTCAAGTCTTCCAAAGATTTCAGCTTTGGCCTTCCAACTTCATTCTGATGTAACTTCTTCGTTTTAACTCTGAATTGGTTTGTTCTTGAGTCTAAACTGACCGCATCGAAGTAAGATTTCCAATGGTACCAATTTTAGTTTCAGATTCTTTTCCTAGCTTAAGATATCCTTGTTTTAGTGAGAGGGTGTCAGATTTGGTTCGAACCAGGATAGGGTTCATTCGGGATTTCTCTTCCTTTGGCCTTGGGACTTCATGTGAAGTTACCAAAGGATGTTTTAGGATGTTTTTTATTTCATTGGACTTGTTGGAAGTCAAATTTCTTCCCCTTAGGGTAAAATGACCATTTTACCCCTTGGTCCTTCCTTCGTAGGGTTTTGATACCCTTGTCTCCATTTCGTTTCCGTTGAGTCTCGACACTTCTCGAAGGGCCATTCTTGTGTCTTAGGGATAACGTACATCTCTAAGGACTTGTCTTTGTTTTACTTCTGCACTTTATTCATTTGGGTCCGTGACCTCATGAAAGGTTATCTTAGGGTCTTAGAGGTGTGTTGTACCTTGGGAAACCATTGTCTTGTCTCTTGCTTCCACATTCTGGATCTGCTTCGGGTCATCATAGGACACACTGGGTTGAAAATTCAGGTTTATCACACATTCTCTACGAGTAAACTTGTTTACTCACCCTGAAGTTACTGGGGGGTTGTTTCAGGTACGAAGACTTGGTTCGTGATGTTCATCATTGCTTGGATGATTGTAGACTTGAAGGTTTTTAATTCTTGTAAAGGTTGGCTTGGAATGCCACTTATAGCCTTATATGTCAAAATGCGTATATTTGATTCCATATATGTAATGTGTACATGAGTACATTCTTTACAATGTATTTGACATGTATGAGGTGAGGCCGGAGGCTAATGACATGTAATTTGTATCCTATGTGATTTTTGACTTCATGGAATATTATGAAAATATTGAAAAATATTGAGTTATTGCTTCACCATGTTTGCATTTGGGTGTGGGAATTCTATTTTGATTCTTCTATAGGGTCTCATTAATTATATGTGAAGTGTGGCCAAGAGCCAAATGGTATTTTGAAACCATTTCATAGTTTTGAATTCCGAGTTTTCATTCTAAGTTCCATTTTTGTCATTTTAGCCGTTGAGGGGTCGGATTTTGCATCAGCGGTATATTGAATCCGTGAACCATTGTAGCACATCCTATTAGGTAATTTACATTTGCGTGCATGATCGTTTCCAAGAAAAACTTCTTCTTTGGTGAAATGAGCTTCATATGGACTCATTTCGCATCTTTATTGCATAATCTGATCTAGGGGCATTCTAGACTTTTCACTATAGTTTTATTGTCTTCTTTCAACATGTTTGAATAGAAAACATGATTTAAGGGGGGGTTTCTTCTTCGTGTTTTTCCAGAAAATGTCGTCTTGGTACCGAAAATCGTTCACGAAGTTCAGCTTTCAGTTTTGCATTTAGCAGCTTTTTGGACCCTCATGACCTGATTTAATGGAGGGGCATTTTGGGCATCTTACAGTGAGTTTTTTTCAATTTCTTTAACATTGTCACATAGAAAACTCGATTTTGAGGGGGGTTTCTTCTTTGTGTTGTTTCAGAAAATGTCATCTTGGCTCTCAAAATCTCAATTTTTGTCAAAAAAAACCCTGTTACCAGGTTTCATTGTTGACCCTTCTATTTTTTGCTTCGTAACTGGTTAGAAGGGGTATCCTAACCGGTTAGATGTGCTTGAACAGTGTTGTGGTCATGATTTTTGGCCTCCTAACCGGTTAGGAAGGTGTGGTAACCGGTTAGATGTTCTAGGGTTTGCTCATTTTGACCTTTTTGCCCCTCTTTCTTCCGTTAGCCATATCTTCTTCATCCGGACTCCAAATCAAGTAAAAAATTTTTTGAACTTGATTAATTTTTTGTTGTCTTTCCAATGGTGTGCTCAGTGGCATCCACTTTTATGTTAAAAATGACGATTTTTCCCCTAGGTTCATTTTTGTCCATTTTTGAAGCGTCACTTCTGCAATTGTTTTCCTTTGAGTTCCATGACCTCATTGAGGGTCACGTTAGTGTCCTAGAGATGCATTGTATCTCCAGAGACCATTGTTTCACCTTTTGTTTTCGCATTCTGGATCCAATTTGGGTCATCGCAGGACACACTGGGTTGAAAAATCCAGGGTTGTTACATGATGGTCTATGATTTTATCTTTTTCTTTTTGTTTCTTTGTGTTGAAAGACCTTTGATAGAGTATCATGTTCTTTTCATTTATTTTTTTTTTTTGGTTGAAAGGTCATAGTGTTTTGCTTGTTTTCAATCTTAGTCGACATTTTGTTTTTTTGTATGTTGGTGTTGTCTACATCAAACTTTGTATGTTGTTGTTGTCTACATCAAACACTATAAAATGTCTTTGTTTTCTAACTTTATGTTAAATGGTGGTCCCTCTATGTTAGTCAAATGGCCTTTTATGATATGGAGTGGTCTTGTTGTGTATTTAATTTTGACCCACCATTATTAATTGTATTGTTTATAGTGGTCCTTTTATGTAATTGAAATTGCAATTGCATGCTAACATACACACTGAACATATGCTCTAATTATTTGTTGATACTGACATACACACTGAACATGTGCTCTAATTGTTTAATGATTGCATTATTTCTGCTATTTGTAAATTTTCTGCCTATACACTATTTGAATGTTGTATTTATTCCTTTTTTAAGTAAGCCCACTTATTGTTGTAGATGGATGTTATGTTCACTATTGAACTTCATCATGGTGGTATCTTTGAGAAAGCACCCCCAATGACATATCTAAGAGGAAATATAACTCAGTTTAAGAAAATAGACTCTGACAATATGTCATTTCTTGAGATTCAAGGGATGGCAATTGAGTTGGGGTATGGGGTGATCAGTGAAGTGTTTTACAAAGTACCCTATGAGTGGCAACAATTTAGAGAAGTGAAGTGTGATTTAGATGTGTTTGGAATGTTTTATGACCATAAAGCTCATATGAAAACTTCTATTATAAAATTATACTTTACTGCGCCCTTGTTGAATGGGGCAGAGAATGAGGTCAACTCAAATGTTGAGTTTGGGTGGGATTATCCAGTGGGGAAAACAAAACTCATTACTCCTGTGTGTAGTGATTATGGTCCTAATGATGAGTTGATAAGTTTATATGAATCTGATAATGAATGTATTGATAGTGGTTCTATACATCAGGATTACAATCCTTCAAGAGATTTTGGTGAAAAAGAACTTGAAATATAAATGAAAGTTGGGTCAACTACTGATTTTAGGTTGGCTCTTAGGGAAAAAGCATTGAGAAACAAGTTTGATATCATGTTCACAAGGAATGATGGAGATAGGGTAACTGCAGTGTGCAAGGCTCAATGTGGTTGGAGGATACATGCAAGCAAACCTGAAAATGAAGATTGCTTGATTATTAAAACCTATGTGCCAGAGCATACTAATTGTTTATGGTTTCATACAAATAGACAAACCTCATCATCCTACTTAGCAAACAAATATTGTGAACAAGTGAGGTTGAACCCTAAGATTCCTTTTGGTACACTTAAGAGCACCATTGCAGCTGATATAGACATTGATGTATCCAAACACAAAGTCTATAGGGCAAAAAGAAAGGCATTAGAAATGATTGAGGGGAATGATGCTGAGTAGTATGGTAAAATGAGGGATTATTGTACTTTGATATTGGGAACTAACCCTGGCAGTATAGTTAAACTGCAAACTGAGCCCGCTGGTGTTGAAAATGTTAAAAAGGTTTCAAAGAGTCTTTATTTCTTACTCTGCAATGATAGCTGGTTTTAAGCTAGGTTGTAGGCCACTAATTGGTGTAGATGGATGCTTCCTAAAGGGACCATATGGTGGTCATCTACTTAGTGCAGTGTCTATTGATAGTAATGGTCAAATGTTTCCAGTTGTATTTGTAGTAGTGGAATCAGAGACTAGAGGTTCCTGGGAATGGTTCGTGGGAGAGTTCCAGGATGTTGTAGAGCCATACCATGATATAACCTTTATATCTCACAGACAAAAGGTATAATTTGTCTAACACACTTGTCCACACTTATATCCACATACACTTGCACTTACGCACACTTGTATATATCCACACACACTTACAGCCACACACTTGTATCCACACACACTTGCACTCACACACACTTATAGGCACACACTTGTATCCACACACACTTGCACTCACATACACTTGCAGTCACACACTTGTATCCACACACACACACACACTTATAGTCACACACTTGCATTTATTGACATTTTGATGTCTCATTTACAGGGTTTAGTAGAAACCTTTGATTCACTTATGGAAGGGTCAGATCACAAGTTTTGTGTGAGACATCTTTATGATAATTTTAAGCTGAGGTTCAAAGGCCAGCAACTAAAGATAGAATTATAGGAAGCTGCAAGGGCATACACTGAAGTAAAGTTTCAACAACATATGAGAAAAATCAGAGACTTGAATGTTGAAGCTTATGATTGGTCAACAAAGGTGCCAACTAAATTGTGGGCAAGGTCATCCTTCACTGAAACTTCAAAAAATGATATACTCATTAATAACATTTGTGAAAGTTGGAATGTTGTAATTCTTGAAGCAAGGGATAAACCAATAATCTACATGCTTGAATGGATTAGAAGACATCGAATGCTAAGGTTCCAGTGTAAGAAAGAGTGGATGCATACACAATTTGGCTTCTTATGTCCAGATATACAAAAGGCATTGAACAAAGTCAAACAGCAAGCTACCATGTGTAAAGTTCATTATGCTAGTAAGAACAAGTATGAGGTGCAATGCTATGGCATTAGTGAGGCAGTTGACATTAATAAAAGAACCTGCAGTTGTAAAGTTTGGAACTTGACTGGTATCCCATGAAGGCATGTTGTGGCATGTATTTTCATTAAGAGGGACTCTCTTGAGGCATATGTTCACCCATTTTATCAGAGGGAAACCTATGTGAAGTGTTACAGTGGCATGATCATTCCCATTCCAATGGAAAAGTTAATGAAAACTGGCACTATTGACCCATTGCTTCCACCACACTATAGGAAACCCATTGGTAGGCCAAAAAAGGCTAGAAATAAGAAGAATGATGATCCCAAAGTTACAACCAAGCTTAGCAGATCAATGGTTGGTCTAAAATGTACCAAGTGCAAAAAGAATGGGCATAACTCAAGGACTTGCAAATTACCTGAGCCTTTGATCATTGACAGACCTCCACCAAGGAGGGAGGTAGACCACCAAATATTGGAAGAGGGAAAGCAAGAGGACCTGCTGGGATGAGGGAAAGCAAGAGGACCTGCTGGGATGCTACTAAGAGGAAGAGGAAGAAAGGCTGGAAAGGGAGAAATAGATGAGTCGAAGTTCCTGTTCCAGCACCTTCAAACCAAGAGGTATGTCCAATGTTATGTTATAGACGTCACACCTTGCTATGGTTTCTTTATGTTCAAACTCACTTGTTTCTCAACCAATTTTATTTTCAGGTTCAAAACATACCATATTCTCAGTTGTCACAAACTCAATCATCAACTTCTTATAGGTATAATTTAATTTTCAAGTTCAAAACATACCATACTTTTTCAAGTTCATCAAAACATACCATATTCAGATCTAATGTTATGGTTTGTTTGTTGTTGTTAACAAAATGGTTAACAAATTTCTGGGTTGATTAATAACTCAACGATGTATAGTGAGTATGCATATTGGTAGTTAATATGGCCATAGAGTTGATGATGGTTTTATCACTCTACTGTTGCTGACTTGAAGAGTCTGATTTTTTGGTGATTGTTAAAGATAATGGAGTGAAGACTACATATGTTGGCTTTTTTTGTGTTGTCACTCTATGGTTATGTGAAAGACTAGCTCAAAACAGTCCTCTTATGTAACTTTTCTGAATGTATGGTTGTTTTGTCAGTGTAACTGTTCTAAACTTTTCTGAATGTATAGCTGCTTTATCAGTATGAAAAGTTGTTTTTTTTTTTTTTTTTTTTTTTTTTTTTTTTTTTTTTTTTTTTTTTGCTGCAATTGAATGTATAATAGGCTATGTATGAGAAAGAGAGGAAAATTTTGTATTATGTACAGAGGGATTCTCATGAAAAAGAGAGGAAGTGTATTGCCTTTTTTCCTTTTGTTTCCTTCCCCTCTTGATCTTTCTTATCATTCATTGTTCACTTCATTTAAATTGATGTTTGGCAGTTTCTACTTTTTCTAGTATGTTATGTCACTCTGTTCTTAGGTCACAAGCATGAGAAAAAAAGGGTGGTCTTTGTACCTTGGACAGTCTATGGTTTATTAAGTTTGGATTTTGTCTCTATATTTAGGTTTGTACTACCATTTAGAGAAATCCCTGCAAGTCTATTCTTGTTACATGAATTTTTTATTTTTGGAAATTAAATCAAACACACTCCCATTACCTCTCAACTTCTCCTTGATCATACCATCCAGACTATGAAGCCATTTATAACTGTTAGAGCAAATTTGGTTTTGCTAAGAAATTTTCAGTGAGGGAAAATTGATTTTATGGGTGGGGGTAAAAATGAAGAGATGAGCATGTTGTGTTAAGTCTGTTAAAAATTGCACTGCACTGTCATTCATCAAACAACCAAGTGCACTGCACTTTCATTCATCAAACAACCAAAAACACCTTCTGATGAGCGCTGAAAAGTGCGTATTTAAACCCCTTAAGCTTAGGCATTCTAGTACCTTTATCTATCTTACTTTACCGTTTTAGATTGATTTCGTTTTATTTCCGTTTTCAGGCACTTATTCTGAAAATAAGCTAACTCAGCCAAATAAGAGCTTAAAAGAAGCAATTCTGAGATTAATAAAAAAAAAGAGCCAAGTAGAAGCAAAAGGAAAAAAAATGTGGAAATCAACATCTTCGATCGATCTCAGATCAAAGTTCGATCGATCCAACATGATCGATGTCAGCACTTCAAGATGGATCAGAGCCATGATGACATTTTCGAGATCTTAAAAGTTTGATCGATCCAACATCATTCTTCGATCGATCGAACTGCTTTGTCCTTATCCAAATGATTGATCTTATCTAGTTATATCACCCTACCAACCACTTTTGTCCTTTTTTCAAAAATATCTTCAAAATATCTCAGATTTGTCTTTATCCAAAAAGTGCCACCATTGAAGATCGATCCAGCCTAAGTTCGATAGATCTCAGCCAAGTTCGATCGATCCAAGTCCAAGGTTCGATCGATCGAACTTCCTCCAGAGCGAAAAAGTTAAATTTTCAGCTCATTGAAAGTTGTCCTTTGTCCAATCATTGGAGAATATTCTTTGCATGACCCCAGCTCATTTTGTGTGTTATTTGACCTACCTGTATAAGGAATATGATGCACTTTTTGAAGGAGCTTCTTAGAGAATTAGAGATACAACCTTAGAGGCAATTCTTAGTGTAGAAGAAAAGAAGGAGGAGGCTAGAAACACAAAGGGGGGAGTTCTTCATCAACAAGGAGCAGATTTCTTCCATGGAGTTAGCCCTTGAGGGTTGGAGGAACATCACCATGAGTGGCTAGACATCCTCTTGGGGCTAGAGTTAGCTCCAAGTATACTTTCTATATCTTAATCTTGTGTATTATTGAGGGATTAGTGTTATAATTAATGTTTTGACACTTTGATATATATAGATCTTGATTGTTCAATGATTTATGTGGTTAAATGCTTTCAATTGATCATCTCATTCTATCCATATGTCTATGTATGCTAGAATAGATGTACATGTGCTTTTCTCTAGATTTTGTGTTATTGATGCATGTCTATGTGTATTGATGCTATAGATTTAGACATTGTCAAAACATAGTGCTTAATGGAATGCTCTTGTGATTTTCTTGATGGTTCATACTTATTCCTTGATGAATTGTGCCTCTCACTTAGTTTATTTTCATGCTAGTAGTATAGATGTAGTGTAGTTGTGGTGTAGTTGTTAAATGGGAGGATAATCCATGCTTATTGTTTAATGATCCATGCTTTTAAATGCAAGTAGCATATGTCTCTAACCTTGTGTTGTATTTGGATTGTGAGCTTAATGAAAGGATTAATGACTTGTTTTGATCTATTGTACCTTCACATGTTGTTTAGACAATATATGCTTCATTACTTAGATATATTGTGTCTTTCGCATGATGTTTAGACAATACATGCTTAACTAGTCATCCTTGCTTGTTGAATCAACCAAACACACACACACACCAATATTGCAACACACCATTTACCCTCATTAGTCATTTATCAATGGTATAGAAATGCATTGCTTGGTGATGATCTCTAAACCCCAAGACTCTTCTCTCTCTTATTTACTCTTAATTGTATTCTTTTGTTATCACTTGTTTAGTTTAATTTGCTCTCTAGTTGAATCAACCAACCAATTCTTGTTTGATCACTCGACCTACTAACCCTAATAGCGATTCCACAACCAACACGTATAATCCCTTAGGACGATCCCTACTCACTCTTGCTACGTTAGTAGTAGTGTTGATAGTCGCTTTTATAAATTTAAACTTGACCCAAAAGGCTTTTCTTGAACCGCTCATTCACTACATTATTTTGGCGTTCATAAGCGGCCTCGTCACCTTCTTGCATTTTTTGTCATTGCACAACATATACAACTAGAAAAGAGATACAATTGCATTGCACTGCCATTCATCAAACAACCAAAAACACCTTCTTACATTTTTTGTCATTGCATTGCACAACACATACAGCCAGAAATTAGACACAATTGCATTGCACTGTCATTAAACAAAATAGACACCATTTTCATTCAACATACTTAAAGTATTACAAGAGGTTTAAATGATACATAAAGATACAACACTACTAAATCCCAACCAACCAAAAAATTTCACTCCTAAGATTGATCTTCAACATACAACACTATCAAGTCCCAGCCAAAAAACTTACTTAATAAAAAGGCAACCAAATAAGATTATAACTGACAACCCAAAGAAGAACATGCTTCCAACAAACATTAACTTAACAATCACAATAAACGAACTGAGAGGCACAACATGACCTACTCGAGCTTCATCTTCATCTTTAATGGCTTCACCGAAACCTGTTGGAGGAGTCCACCATTGGAAAAAATTACATTTCTTATTCTTGCAATTGAAATAAAGCTTGCTAGGATTGTCGGTTGACTCAGATATGAACACATTTGCCCTTTTGTCACAACAACATTTCATATTCCTAAAAGGACCCCTTCGCACCACACCCTGATAACTACGACTTACAAACGATTCAAAACTCATTTTCTGCAAATAATACCATATAAATGGAAATTAATAGAGAAAATAATACAATATATATATATACACACACACACACACACATATACTGAACAATACACAACAAACATACATAGAGACAGAAAATGAGATGGATACGCTTAGAGCACGATGATGAACAAAGTGAAAAAAATTTGTTCACTCTTTCCAAAATACAGACCTACAGATGGATAACAACCCTTACCAAGATGCACAACTGATTGACATGAAAGCACGATGATGGTATCCTGTTTCTGACCACCAAATTCAGCAAGATGCACAGCTAATTGAAAACGAAGATAAACCTTAGAAGGTTGCAAAGTTGTCAATTTGGGGAATTTTTTATAAAGGTTTGTTTGGGTCAGTTCAATTATAAGGAATAGGCTGTCAACGGTTGGAAATTAGGGACATTATTGTCCTTTCATACTTCTATAGGCAATATGGTCATTTAAAATTAACAAACCAATTTTAACGGTCATATATATCACTGGACATTGGACGGATGGGGTCATCTACAATAATTTTGCATAGTCTAGGGGTTTTTTTGCATTTTTGGAAGTCCAGGGGGTTAGTTGCAGATTTCCCAATAGTCCAGAGAGGTTTCTTGCATTTTACCCTAAAATTATATAGGGATAATTACAAAAACATGGACTTTTGGAGGTATTTTTTCAGAATCATGGAGTCAAAACCAACGTTTTTCACATTCATGAACTTTGCTAAAATTTGGTAAATGAGAAAAAACTCTATTCATTTGTCCAAATTAGCCTTTAACATAATACCACTTTTGAACTGAGATAGAAGTTAGAATAGAAATCTTGCACAGTTGCGTCATGGGAATGGGAAAGCTCACCCCTACCCTACCCATTTATGCTGATAAATTATATTTTTATTTTTATAATATATTTTATACTAAAAAAATATTAGGTATATTAAGCAAACCCTTGGTTATTATATTCCAATCAATGGAAACTAGTTCAACCCACCTCTCTCATATTCCAATCAATAGAAACTAGTTCAACCCAATTCTCTCACAAATTGCATCTCTTTGCACCGCTCTCTTTTCATATCGTAAATTCAAAAGACGAGAACAAAGTAATAATTGAAACCCTCTTTTACAACGTTCTTACATTGAAATTGCTAAGAGTCTCACCAACGAAACACTGGGCAAATCCAAAATCTTGGTTCTCATCAAAAATAATATTGCTACTTTTAATATAATTTTGTATGACCTCTATGTATTATTTTGGGATAATGATTTGGAGTCCAAAGTCTGACAATTTTGATTGATTTTGATGAATAAAGGCTGATGTCATTAATATTGCTAATGTCGTGATGACATCATCTTCCACCCACATAAAATTAGTTGAACTTATCCAATTGTCGGACTCCTATCATTACTCATTATTTGGATATTCCTACAATAGTATTAAATTTCAAGTTTCAATTGAGAATTTGGATCTTATTTTTATTCTCATGAGAGTAAAGGAATTGTTACCATTTACATATTGTAGGAGATATAACAAATCTAATAAATTAAGAAATTCATTTTTTTTGTTTCTTCCAGAAATTCCATGATTTAACCATTCCCTAGCCATAATTCTTGCACATGAAAAGTTGTATATATACACATTAAAAGTAATGAAAGAGAGGTGTAAGTTTTGGCCTCTTTTCAAGATTTTATTTCTATAAGGATGCAACAAATACGAAGATACTTAGAATGCCTCCCGCATTTGAGGAGATATCAGAGTTTGAATCTCTGACACAAAAATAATAATAAAATAAAAACAATCAAAAATCAAAAGATTTGTTTTGCTGTGGATATACCACTCTTCTTCTCTCTCCACAGCAAAACAAATTCTTTTTTAATCCTAATATTATTGTATAGCGATCTTTTTTTTAACCCTAATATTATTGTATAGGGATTCCTTTTCTTTTCCTTTTTTTTTTATTGTAAATTTTATGTTCTTGATATATGATAGATAATTATTCAATGAAAATTAATTAGAAAACCTCATAAGGAAGTTTTTTGCAAGTGAGGGATGGTTGAAGGGATTTTTTTGCAATTTGCCCAAAAATAGTTGAAGTCCTACTTCAGCTACTCTCTGAATCTTCTATGTAACATGATTAAGAATTTACAAAAAACAGAGAAAAATATATAAAAATAAAGAGGGCATACCTTCTAAAGGTTTGATTCAGTATTTGAACTTTCCCTCGTTCCTTTTATAAAATAAAAACTGTTTGACCACATTACTAATTCACCATTTTTCGCACAATGAAAACATGAACTTTTTATGCTGCATGATAAAGGTACTCTAATAATTCACCTTTTCATTTTTTATTCTTTGTTCTAATTTTCGAAAGCAATTTTTTATTTAGCAGTGAATTAGTCGTGCAATTTATATACTATATTCTTGTGGCACTCAACCACTCCATATAAGAAGACAATAATAATGATTGAATAAATAGATATGGAAAGATTTCTATGGAATAAATTTATGATTGATATATAATTTGTTTATTTATTTGGTGTTGTCATTTTATCATGCTCTTCCCCAACCCCCAAGTATAAATGGGGTCACTCAACCACATAGAGAAAACAACTCTTGTTGAAATCTAGCTAGATTTAGCATCATACATTCTAAATTAATTATTGTCATGGAAAACACAAACGCATTGCTCAATCACTCTTCTCATTCTCTAAAACCCTTACTAGATCAACTTCCTAAGCAATGCTTTTGGGACGATCTCGATCTCCATCAATGGGAAGGTTTTTGGTATCTACCCCGTCACTTAGAAGCTGCAAAATCCATCCAAGCACACTTTGAAGCACGTGATGACGACGTCATATTGGTTTCTTCTATTAAAACAGGCACAAATTGGCTCAAAGCTCTTTGTTTCTCTATCATGCAACGCCAAACGGGCTCTAATGATGTAGAAGAAGAGGACCCTCTTGTCAAAATCATTCCTACCTTGTGCGTAAGAACCTTGGAGGCCCACGTTTACACACCAAACAATCCATCACCTAATCTTTCAGGTATGCCATCTCCTAGACTATTTCATACTCACTTGTCTTATAATGCCTTGTCTGATTCAATTAAGAATTCTGGGAGTAAGATTGTTTACATAACCCGGAACCCTAAGGACACTTTGGTGTCCATGTGGCATTTTTTTAATTCCACGAGGACACCTGAACAAGGACCATATCCATTTGAGAAGGCATTTGAGGGCTTCTGTGATGGGATTCACCCTTTTGGGCCCTTCTTTGATCATGTGTTGGAGTATTGGATGGAGAGCTCAAAGATGCCTCACAAGATACTATTCTTGAAGTATGAAGATCTTAAAAGTGACCCAAAAGGAGAGTTGAAAAGGCTGGCCTCATTTCTTGGAAGGCCATTTGTTGAGGAGGAGGAGGAGATTGATAAGTTGTTGTGGAGGTGTAGCTTGGAGAGGCTCAAGAACTTGGAGGTGAACAAGAATGGTTCGGATCCTGCGTCAGGAATTTCAAGTAGTGCGTTTTTGCGGCTTGGTGTTGTTGGGGATTGGAAGAACAACTTCACTACCGGGATGAAAGAGCGCCTTGATCAAATTACTTCGATGAAATTAGAAGGGTCTGGCCTTCAACTCGAGACATAAAAATTTGGAGGAATTTGAACTTGAAGCTTTAGTTAATAGCCTTGAGGCAAATAAACTACTTAGTTGTTGCTATTTATAAGAGCAGAAAGTGAATAAAGAGTTGTTGCTTTATGTATAATCCCTTTTATTATTATTTTATTTGTTTTTTTTTTCAAATTAGTTGGAGAGGGACTCAAATACGGGTACACGTGCTCGAAGAGCTGTGCGCTCGCTCTACCAATTAGGTTACTGGATAATCTCTTATATATAATCCATTAGATTGGCATCCTTGTTTTGTAATTTGATGTATTGCTATGGAAATCATGCATATGTGTTTATTTTAATACCATCATGCATGTCATTTTTTTTTTCCAAGTAAGGAAACAATTTAAGAGAAAAAAAATAAGAAACATATATAGAATTTTATGAAGAAAGAGAAAATTCAGGGGATACTTTTCATATTTTCATAAAAAAAATATATGTATTATTATAAAATATAATCAACACAAACTTTGGGATAAACAATTTCACTATGAAAAATATTAAGGATTACACTGAAAGATTTCCTCCTAATCTCTGGCTCGCTCTTTCTTATTTAGACACAATAATTTTCTGAGAATTGAATCACCCACCAAAATTCTTATTAATGTTCACATAAATAGTTCATCTCAAAAGAAACCAACTTGCCCCACAAGTCTAAGGCCTTTTGGAGAGTTCAAAATGAAAAAAGGAAACTAATTTCCACACATTCCAGGCATGTTCGACCCATTGTGGTCTTCTCTGTCAAAGTCGAGTACATCCTCACCAATGAGGATCTAAGTATTATTTTTTTAAACTATGATATCTCATACAATGATATGGTAGTAAAACCACACTGCAAACTCAAATTTCCCGGTGGTTACACTTTAGACACAAATGTTCATTTCTATTCTAATTAGTTGCAATTTTTTTTTACTGTAAAGTTAGTTGTGTCACCTGATATGATCTTTAAATTGAAGAATATTGTAATTAGACTATACTTACTTAATCACACTAGCGAGCATGTACTCCCTACTAACTGCTAATTTGGTTCAATTCCAAACGCATATATATCTTGTAATTACAAAATTAGGAAAGTAATAAATAAGCATCCAAATTGACCCGACTTTTTTTTTTTTTCCTTAACGATCCGTAAAGAGTACCTACTCACTGATGAGTAAGTATTGCCCATTGTAATTTATGTCAAATTCATTATAGTGTTCCTTCTCACCTTCTCCTTGATTGGCCGGGACAAGTTCTAGGAGTAAATTTCTGAATAACATAAAATAAGTAAAGACATCCTCTAAAATTGTATAATATTATTGAGAAATTGAAAAAACTTTAAAACCATGAGCAGCTCGAATTTTAAAATGTAATGAAAATAAAAAAAATAAAATAAAAAATAGGCGCCTAGCAACATATCAAGATGTAAGTCAAATGACTGAGAGAGAAGGTGAGAAGAAGAAAAAGAGAAGAAATAGAAAATAAGTAAAGACATCCTCTAAAATTGTATAATATTATTGAGAAATTGAAAAAACTTTAAAAAAAAAATTTTGTATAATAATATTTGTTTTATTTATTTAGTTTTTGTTGTATGGTGTCTTATTTTTTTGTATTTATACTTTTTAGGATGAGAATCACTTTGTGTTAGTGAATAGCTAATAAATTGTCATTTGGACGATATGAACTCATATTTAGTACTCACTCCATTTCATATTTAGTGTCGGCTTTGGTAATCGTGACTTACATTTTTGTGAGTCACGGTTACCAAAGCCGACACTAAATATGAAAATGTGAGTCACGGTTACCAAATCCGACACTAAATATGAAACGGGAGAGTAGTAATTACGACATATATACAAATGTTTGTCATTTCTAATTTGATTAATGACATTTTTCAAAATAAAATTAGATGGGTCAGTTGATATGCCATGTAAATTAAAGAGTTTTGTAATTTATGTCAAATTCATTGTAAAAAATATGAACAAACTTTATTGTCATCTAAGATTACAATTAACTTAGGTGGGTTGAGGGACTTAGGCGGACTCGACCTAAGATTTAAATCACCAATTCAAGTTAAACCCAACCCAACATTTATTTAAGCTCTCAAATCTGATTATAAAGTCCAACTCAAGGTGAAGATTGGATTAAAATTTTGTTCGTATTTCCAACAACTAAATCTAAGTTTGGATGGGCATTCTGTACTCAACCCGAAGTCATCCTTATATTATTTTTTTATTGATTTGGGTAATAAAATTTTCAACTCAAATATAATTATTATTATTATTTTTTTAAATAATAATTTAATTTAATTGCCCATCCAATTTCCACCCAATTGCAATCTCCATTTGTAAATAGGCCCTTTTCAGGTTTATCTATTGTATCGCATCCAAACAGACCCCTTCCAAGATAAAAGTCATAAAACACGTACGAAGAACACCGTTGCGAGACTTGACCGGCCTTACAAATGGACAAAATACTGCCACGTGGCTTACATGAAGCCTCATGACTGAATCTCGCCCTCTATTCTGTTACTCCTGTTTGTTTTTCTTCTTCCTCTTCTTTTCCTCTGCAAACTTCACACTCTCTCTCTCTCTCAACTGTTCGTTTGTTAAGAAGGAAACTTCTGGGTCCAAAATGGAACAATACCCATCTGGTGAGTTTATCTTTTGCCTAGAGAGTTGTTTCTTCTTTTTTTTGGTTAAATTTGCTTCTAATCGTTGTTTTGTGTGTGTATATATATATATATATTTATGTGTGTATGTATTGTTGGGTTTGATGAAGATGATAAGAAGGAGGTCATAAAGGATCAGCAAAGAGAAGGGTATTGCAAGGAAGCCTGTGAATTTGACACATCAGAACGTTTTTCAGATGAAATAGTCCCACATATCCTCAACCTGTGAGTTCTCTCTAGATATATATATATATATATATATATATATATATGCATGCATTTCTTCTGATTTGATGTCTCTTTTCCAATTCCTCTTTCCTTAGTATAGCATCCATAATATGTGGACCTATTGAAGTAACAATTAATTAACACTAACCCAACTCAAAAAATGTTGTTTAAAAGAAATCCACAATTCACTTTTGTTTGGATGCCAAGAAAATGTTGGCCAGCGCAGAAATTTAAAATTTCTACCTTTTTCCCTGTGTGCGGGAATTGAATTAAGGGGAACCTGTTTTTCTCTAAATTTATATAATTATTGAGGATGTGCTTCCATATTTGGGGTTATGGGAAGTGTGGAGCCTGATAATACTGTGCACCTTTTGCAAATATTTTGGAGGGTATTTTGGCATTTTCATACTTATTCTGTAGCCCTGATTCTATAACAGTATAGTGGGGGTTATAATTATTCTGAACTATGTAATTTGGTTTACCTCAGTGAGTCGGTGGACGTAGCCCCATTTTTTTGTGAACCACGTAAATTGTATGTTCTTTTTCAGATCTTATGTCTCATACTTAGTTATTTAGGCAATGAAATAGGAGAGTGATATTTTTCTCTTTAAAGAGAAGAGATCCAATTTGGTTCCTTAGCTAGAAATGTATAATGTTTTGATGAACATGATATTTGTTTCTCAAGTTTAACAGTCCATTAAGACTTCCATCAGTTTAGTTAATTTTATATTCCCTCTGTCCCAAGTCAACAGGGGCCAACCCTCCCTCATGCCCATAAACTCCTGCAATCACGATGGTGGCATTCCACCTTGGGTCATTGGTGCGACTACGTGTAAACCACCTTGCTAGCCAACCCTTCCAAATGATTTGTTTTGCAATGATATGGGTTTTCAGTTTGGATTAGCAACAAACACTTAGGGCTCTTCTAGGAATGTATTGAGTTCGTAACTTACGATTATACTATGTGATGCTTTTTTTTTGGTCTAACTTCGCATATCAAGCAAGAAAATAATTTGATGTTTTATGGTCTTTCTCACTTGATTTTCAAAAATATGCACTTGCATTGTTTGTTCACACAGTGACTTTCATGGTTGTGATGCCTGTGTATATGTTTTACATTGGATTTAATCTGATGAGAATAAAAGGATAAGTCATGTATGATATATTCACAATGTAAGGTGTATAATTGTCGTTCCCAGATGTTGTGCATCAGACTTTTGCAAAAAACAGTAAATAACAAAATTACACAAGCATGTAAAAGAAAACACACGCACACAATTTATGTGGTTTGGATAGATTGATGTTCATGTCGGGAGGGGATAAAAATCCAATGTTCATGTTGGGATGGGATAAAAATCCACCATACAAGAAATTACTAAGGATTAGTTAAGCACTCAATCACTCAAACTATGCTCTTAACCCTCACACAGTTTCTTTAAGCTCTCTACTCTCTTCTTGTTATGTTTTGGCAACTTTACATTGGCTTTTGGGGCACTATGGATAGATTTGCAAACCATTCTGGTAGGCACAAGTGATGGAGCTAACCATCTCGATAGATTCATTCACCTCGACTTATATTCAACTAGTCGAGCCCTTGATTCAATCGGTTTAGCGCCTATGCATTCCACTTAAACCAGTCAATCGCTTTACCCTGGTTGGTCTATGAGCTATTAAGATAACGTTGATTGACTCGTACCTTATTCTAGTCAGGCTAATGCTGAAACTTCATCCAGTAACTCTCCCAACTGCTGAAACAAACCTTTATTTAATCTAAACAATAAGTGTGTAATTGATTTTGATATCCCGCACTTGTGTATATGACAAGCATATTTTGATCAAGGTTTTTTCATTGATGATACTTTTATTAATTAAATCATTAATTCATAGCAAATGATTTCAGATATGGATCCTGTGCCACACCTCATGATTTTGAAATATATGCTCCAGATGCAACCTTTGAAGATCCACTTATGTGTGCTCATGGGTATGTATAGTAATACAACCTAAAGATTCTATCTTATTTATTCCAAATTATATTTATCCATTTGGATAATTGGCTTCTTATTAATTATATGTAGGGAATTCAAATGTTGTTGACCATAAGACCTTTTTCTTCGGTAGGAATTGCTATTATTACATTTTCTTTTTCAAAAAGTGTTGGGTACTACAGATAGGAGGATTTTAAAGATGGTAGAAATAGACCAAGTTAGATGTTGAAATTATTTGAATGCTTTATGCAAGCTGATTCAAAACTAGTTTAAAAGAAAGAAATTGATATTATTATTTTCATTTTTTTCTAGAAGTTTGATTTTAAATATATAGAATTATACGACTCAAAATATCTCTTGTTATGCAATACTTGAATTATTTGTAACACCGTTATTTCCACGATAGTATCAGAGTTATGCCACATGCCTCCGTAAATTCTGTTGCTCAAGTCTTTTGTTCTGATTTTAGTTCCTCCCCTCCCCCTCCTACCCTTGGGCTATGGGGAAAAAGGAAAAAAAAAAAAAAAAAAACAAAGATAGGAAAAAAGTAGCCCCTTTTATTGGTTTATTAAGAAATATAGATTTTACCATTGATGAAGCGGGAGGTAAGAATGTTCAAGATTGAACAAAGAACAACTTTAAATAGAGAAAATTGTAGAAAAATCTGATAATTTATTGATAATTGAAAGCCAATTTGCACTATACCCCCCTGTGCTTTCAAAAGCTGCAAAGTGCCCCATTTGGATGAAAATTTCAGCTTTATGCTAATTATTTTTTATAAAAATACCCTTTTACAGGACCATTTTACCCTTTTCAATGAATCTTACCAAAATAACATATAAACTAACTATATCTTACTCCGACCATCCCTCACTTTCTCTCGCTAAATTCTACTCATATATGACCACAAACCCCACCCATCATCACATATGCTAACCAAACAAAAGTGACCAAAGTACTTTCTTTATTTCCGTTTGACAAACACGACCTTATTAGCACAACAAAGTAGAAGCCATTAACAGAAGTTTTCAGTTCTTAACTTCAGTTGTTCTTGACCCAAACTTAGTTTTTTTGCTGCACCAATGTAACGTTTTCTATATTTTCTTTGCTTCTTATTTATCTTCTTCCTTTTTCCAAATTGTTTAATAAAGTGCACCCGAATAGGTAGTATTCTCTACATTGTCAAGTCTGTATAGGCATTTTGGTGCTCCTGCTAAAACTGGGTTGGGGCAACGCTGCACCACCATAGGCTTGATAGTTTTATAGTCTGTAAATGGTTCTCTTTACTAAAACTTCTACATATGAGAAAAAAAATCAATGAATCTGTCCTACATCAACTATAATTGTACATTAGTGGAATTTTTTCTAGAAACCACTTCTTTACATTGTCTTTTTCGATTCGTAGCATGGCAATGGCTTATTTATTTGTTATGTAAATTTTACTGTTGATTGCAGGATAAAGCAGATCAAATCAGCATTCTATTCACTTTCCAAGGTTGTCTAGACTTAATTGTTGGTATTTTATTGAATGTTGTACTTTATCTAATACTTGTTTTCTGAATAAATTAAATACTTGCGCTAGTAAATTATGATGTGATGTTGAGAGGAAAGAAGAAAAGACAGAAAAACTTATAATTGGAGTTACCAAAGATAATTGTAGAGATAGGTTGCTTAAACCATTTTTGTTTAGCGTGGTTTTCTTACTTCTACTTCAACTCTTTTTAGTTGTAAAGAATAGGAACCGATCTTCTGCAATAAAAAGGAGGCTATTAGCAATCTTGGTCCCAAATGCGCAGAGTTGTAACACTTGCACTTTCTGTATTATACACACACTTAATTTGAGCATGTGGACTTGACATGGCTATCTGACCCAGTTTATTGTATAATCCTGGTCTTTAGTTTTAAAGTTTTAATGAAGTACATATTTTTCCTTTATTATGGTTGAGGCCACTATTTGATTCTGAAATACAAGTTTCCACAAACTCAGTTTGCAGGCACGAATCTATTGTGTGCCCAACTGAATTTTGTTTTTTTTATAGTATTATACCCTAAAATTTTTAGAATTTTGATATATATATATATCTATAAAATTATCCCCCCAACCAACCAACTTATGTTTCTGATAACTGGATCCGTCCCTGTTGGTTTGGATACTCTAAAGGAATAGAAAATTTGAGCAACTCACTGGCTCTTTTTTTTTTTGTCCCCAATTAATGGGTCACAAAGTGGGGAGTCATCCCTCCCCACCCACCCTTTACCTCCTAATCCCAGATGAAATGTCCAATCTTAAAAAATCTCGCCTTGGAACTATGTTGAGATATTGCCAGATAAGTTAGCTGGCAGCTTCCACTGAACTTTTTTTTTTTTCCTTTTCCTTTTTGTTATTTATTTATTCTTTTTACAGTGAAAGTGCTCGTTCATTACTATGAATTTTGTCTTCCGCTTGGTCAGTTTCAACAAACTACTTCAAACGAACGAACAAAAAAAGAAAAAAAAATGTGGGAGATATCTCATAACTTATTTTGAACTGTCGTTTTCTATTTTACCAAATTTTAATATGGAGATAATTAAAATAAGGAGTCTCTCTTGTTGCTTACTTATTAACTATTGTTTGATATGGGGTTGTAATGTACAGGAGCTTTGTAAATGCAGATTGCTGGCCGGACTAGGTAATAAAAATTTCTGTTTTATAATTTTCAGGTCTTCAGTGAATCCAAAATTGTTGAATACAGCATCAAAGAAAATGTCGTTTCACCAGGAAAAGGAGAGGTTCTAAGTTTATCTTGCTGTCTTTTCATAATTACCTGAAAGACCTCCAATTTTTCCCCATTTTAATTCATATAATTTCCTTTTTTCTTTGAGAATTCCTGACCTCTGCAAATGGATTCAGATATTAATTGACAACAAGCAATATTACAAGTTTTTGGGAAGAGACATTAATATGATATCACTCATAAAGTTGTCTGTTGAAGAAAGGAAAATCGTTCGCCATGAAGATTGGTATGCATTCAATTTTATTTATTTATTTGTTCTAGTGACTATGCATTCAAATATTTCGTCTTATATTAATGCTCAATTTAGCCGTTAATACATACATTTAATGAAAACTCTAGCTTGGATCCAGTATGCAATCTTCTTGATATGCAATAATTGAATTTTGCAAATCCGAAGATCTTTTAGTCCTTTGTACTTGAGCACTACATTCTTCCTAGCTTGTCTTCCAATGCTTAATTGCTTGTTTTGAAAAGTGTAAGCGAAGAAAAAAAGACAAGAGAGAGAGAATTTTTAGAATTCTTAAAATGTGGTACATGTCCTTTTCTTTTTCCGTTTGAAATGAAGGAGAGATGTAACATACGATTTCTCTCTCTGTATCAAACCATGAAAACCCAGGAACAAGTTTTGTACAGTAAGTGATGAAGTTAAGCTAGTTCTAACTCAATTGCACAACGCATTAGCGAGTGAATGTGATTGAATACTTGACAATTTTTACAAGATGGTCTTATGGAACACATAACTGGAGAGTTCATTTTGATATTGGTTTGCAAGCTCTATTGTTGTAATAGTATATTTTTATACTGCTATTCAATAATGTTTACTTGTCTTTTCCTGTGTGAGTTGATTTAAGATACCGTGAATGAAATGTGTACAGTTGGGACAAGAAGCCTCTTTTGAATAAAGAGACAGCTAAGATGTCATTGCTCGGCCGAATCGTCGAAATATCTCGCAGGGGTTCAATGATGGCAACTCATGCTATGATGAGGTTTGGAAAGGATCCAACCGTGTAAATCACTCCCATGAACGAAAGATTCATGAATGTTGTTGTGCATGTGTGTGTGTGCATTCTTACTTCATTAGCCCCTATAAGTTACTTTAAGAGAGCTGAAACCTGGATTTTGACTCTGCCTGAGATTCTTGTTTGTGGTTAGATTTCTTTGTAATAATTAGCATCTTCTGTATGCACTTTTAACTCACAAACTCTACCGCATATATTTTATGAGCGACACAATTTCATAATTTACACTTTTTTCTTTTTTTTCCAAGGTAAAAAGTGTTAAGAGTTAGATTAGTAAATACAGATCTACAGGAGGTACTAACTCACTAACTCACTGAGCTAGAGGCATAATTTACACATTACAATGTTCTAATGACAATCTCTAGTTTGCTATTGGACTTGATTTATATGAATCAAGGGTTTGAATTTTTTGCGCTATGCAAGTTTATTAACGGATGGTAGAATTGGGCCTTGACAATTGGAAGTGTCATTTTATACTTGGGCTTCGAGTCAATATGAAGTTTTAATTGAAAGTGGACTGGATCTTGTGTTTCAACTTAACTTTCAAGCAGGGACTTTTCCAAACTCTGAGGCTTGTATTTGAAATTGAAAAAAATTTAGTTCTTATCGCGAGTTGGAGCCTACTTTAAGACGTCAGTCTCTCTGGTTATGAGAATTCGACCCCACGCACTACATGATGAAGTGAGTGGGTATAGATCTTTCCATAGTTGGTCTAGATCCCACAGGCAAAATGGATTTCACCACTGTGAAATGATTTTCATCGAAAATCTAGACCCCATAGCTAAAATGGATTTTTTTTCATCCCATGTGCGGATCTTGGTTTATAAAAATGAGAGCGCCTCCCTCACCAAGTCTTATACTAATAGAATGCAAATATATATATATATATATATATATATATATATTAATTACCCCTGGCATTTATGTGTCAGCTCATGACTCATTTATACATATATATATATTATAAATACATACCCAATAAATGTAAGTTTCCAGTATGAAAAGAATTAAATTTTTGGCCTACTCAAAACCTAGAAATAAAATCACAATTTGGATTCCTTTGTGCCTTATTTTTTGAATCTCATATTATGAGAAAAAGGTAAACTTTAAAATAAAAAAATATATATAGTCAGTATTCCATTCTTCTTATTTTACAAGCTTGAGGGATAATGACATATTTTAAGTTAAATAAAAGTATTTTTATTTAAAAAAATTGTATTTAGAAGTTTTTGGTAACCCATTAAAAGCATTTTTAATAATTACTCACTTTGTCCCTCCCTCTGTCCCAAAAAAAATTGTCATGCTTTTTTTTTGGTCGGTCCCAAATTAATTGTCACTTTTTTTTTTCAAATAATATATTTTACATCTTTCCATATATGTCCTTGTAGTTTAAAATTTCAAACTTGAATATTCAAAACTTAGAAGGGAAAATTAGTAACTTTTCAAAGAGACAAGGCCTGTCTCATATGTCCGGGACATCTAAATTGAGACAGAGGAAGTACTAATTTTGAAGAGCGTTTAAATTAAATTAGAATTTGAAGTTTTTAAACAAATATTGTTACTAAATAAATTAAAAAATAATTTAATTATAAAAAATACTTATTATAATGTGTCACACCAATCACCCAACATATTTTTTTTTTTTTTTTTAATGACCATACTATTTTTTATTCCATCAGCAGCCCAAGCGGGACTCTTCGACCTCTATTTTAAATCTAACAATAACAACAACTACTAACTACTGTAGTTTATCTACATTACTTATATGTTGTTTTTCACCCTACCAGTTCAATTATTTATCCGCATTGCCTATGCCATTTGTTTTGATGACGCATGGTCCAGTGTGAGAATTTTTTTTCTTGTCTTCATCAAGCACCTGCACTGTGTCCTTTTTTATATGCATTTTCTACAAGTTTGGTATTGTCCTTCTAAATTTTTTTTTTTATCTCTCTTTTTAATCTATGTCGATTTGTCCCCCAACTTTATTTTCAGTCACTATCCCTTTTCTACCTTTTGCTAAGCTTGTCAAATACAGGTTTCTCAATATTTGCCATTCAAAATATACCTTTCAATGTAAATATATATATATATATGTGCCAATTATTAATTTCAATTGTCGACACTTGCTAATCTGATCAATTGGTTTCCAATGCAATATGAGAGCAGAGTTCCAAAACATTTTATACGTATACAAATTTTTTTTGTGTGTGTTGAACAATTCAGCAAACAAGAAAGAATGGAGATCACCTCATAAATAGTTTTTACGCATACAGATTTCTTTCGTGTATGTTAAATGATTCAGCGAACATAAAGATATCAGTGCACCGCAACACATATTACACAAAAGAGGGAGAATTGCATATAGCTCGCATGCAAGTTGTGTCTATCTCCCCAATACTTGAAACAATGACCAAATAATCATTGAAAGCAGCATCATGCCATATCCAAGATCTTTTTGTTTAATCCAAAATCTGAATCACACATTCTCACTAACTTTATTTTTGCTCCTCTTTTTGACCGGGTCGTCTATGTTACCTGCCATTCCAAACAACCACATTACACACACTCTCTCTCTCTTTCTCTCTCTCTCTCTCACACAACACACACAAGATTCTTTTAGTATCTGTGAGTGAGTTCATAATTTGAATGTGATCAGCGAGGGATCCAAGGCTTCATCATTAGAGAGAGAGAGAGATATGAATCTATATGCATCGATTGCAGAGAGTTTTAGATTCGAGAATTCCCTTACTTTCATGCAAAATCACTTGGAATAGAACGAAAAAGCTTTAAGTGGATGGTGACCATATTTAAAAGAGACATTTCCGACTTTCTTTTACTAAAGACTGCTAAAGCTCTATGTGTGGAAACTTTGTCTCCATGCGGCCCCAATCTTTTACACACACTCTCTCTCTCTCTCTCTACCTCTCTTTCTCTCTCTATAAAAAGTTTGAGGTGTGGAAGCTTGTCTTGGGTGAGTCTACAATATTGCAATGTGTGAAAAAGTTGTGTTGCCTTTCAAAAGTATGAACATAATTGTTACTTTAGCGTATGATAAACTCTTAAAAGAATGCATTTACTGCCTCTTTTCTTTTCTTTTTATTCCCCTTTTTTCTATTGTAATCATTTCTAGATCATGTTCAAAGATAACACACTGAAAACGGCTAACTCGATATAATAAGAAAACTTTTTGGCCATTGAGAGGACTAGTTCAATCATTGGTTATTGGTAATTAACACTGACCAAAATAAAAATAAATAAATAAATAAAAATTGTGAAAACCTACCTCTTGATGTATTCCAATTATAAACGATAGCTCTGTTGGTATAATTAACTCCCTTCAATTCATTTAACGGTCGATTGTTATAAAGAGTTAAATCTAATATCCACCATACATAGCGAAAGTATCATATATTACATCACATTAACACAAGTATATATAAAGATAACAATTATACACATTCACGCACAACACAATATTTTACATAGTTCATTCAACCTTAGGGCTACGTCTATGGAGGTATAAATTTCCACTATTATAAATCAAAGAAGAGAATATAAAATCGGATCTCAAAACCCTACTCACTTACTCGTCATCTCTTTTGAGGCTACATCTATACACTCGGGAATTACATATACTTTCTCATTTACTGACAATATTCAACTTTAAACCCCTTACATCTTTTCTCTCTTCTCTCTCTCTTCTTTCAACCCATCTCTAATTATAGAGTCTTCAAACTCAAATTCCATATTGAACAAGTATTTCCCGATTTGCATACAAAGAGTTATCACACTAGTCTTCAACTCTCTAAAATAGAAGTCTTCTGACTTACACGTCGAAAAGGTTCTACTTTTCTTGAACTGGTTCAATTGGGGTTAAAATCATGTCAACTAGTTCAAGAAAAAGTTGAACTGGTTTCAAATAACTTGAACTTGTTCACTTCTGTCCAAACGTTATTCGCACATCGAATTAAAGCCACAAAACAAAACAGGCTTTATTATTTAGTTGATTTCAACCCTCTTTAGTGATGGGTAGTGTGGAGTCTGATAGATACTGTACACCAAGCCCCAACTCCGCGGATCCAATTTCGTGGTAAGTTGGAGAAGGGTCGCAGGGGGACTCTGCCCCGCCTACCCGAATGTAGGGTTCGGGTGCTTGCCCTACCCAAATTTTTTAGAGGGCATTTTGGTAATTTTCATACTTGTTATGTTGCCCCTAGTGCAAGGGTATTTATTCATATTCTGAACTTTCTGTATTCGGTACTGTTTTTTATTATCATAGTGAAAATCCCTGTAACCCTTAAATGTAGCCCTAATTTTGGGTAAACCAAGTAAAATATGTGTGTTCTTGTGTATGTGTGTGTGTGTGTGTGTGTGTGTGTTTGATCTCTTTCTTGTGTTTTCTGTTTAATTTCGCAATAACTAGTATCAGAGCCATTAGGTTTGAGTGGGAGCAATGGGTACAGAAGAAGGAAAGATCAAGATCGATAAGTTTAATGGTGCAGATTTTGGGTTGTGGAAGATGCAAATTGAGGATTATCTATATCAGAAAAAGTTATATCAGCCTCTTTCCGGAAAGAAACCAGAAGAGATGAAGGATGATGATTGGGCCCTTCTTGATCGGCAGACACTAGAGGTCATTCGATTGACACTTTTGCACAACGTTGCCTTCAACATAGTAAAGGAGACGACAACAGCAGGTTTGATGACTGCCCTTTCAATTATGTATGAGAAACCCACTGCGTCTAACAAGGTATATTTGATACGGTGATTATTCAACCTAATTAGAATGTCAGAAGGCGCTTCAGTAACTGACCATCTAAACGAGTTTAACATTGTTATGACTCAGTTAAGCTCTGTAAAGATTGAGTTTGATAATGAAGTTAAGGTGTTGCTTCTCTTATCCTCTTTACTAGAAAGCTGGAACGGTACTGTTACAGTAGTGAGTAGTCTTTAGGGAAAAAAAAATTGAAGTTAGATGATGTTCAGGACTTAATTCTCAGTGAAGATATTCACAGAGGGAAACAGAGGAATTATCTTGATCTATTTTCAATACCGAGGGTGGAGGAAGAACTTCTTAAAGATCAGACTCGGACTGTAGTAAATCCAAATCTAAACACAGAAGCAAGTCAAAAACTAGAACCTGCTGGAACTGTAGAAAAAATGGGCATTTAAGGTTTGAGTGTCGATCACCAAAGAAGAAGAGCAAAGGAAAACAAAAATCTATA